CCAAGCTCTACTTGCTAAGCAAGAGAGGCTCAGGCAAGCCTTAAAGTCCCTACCTGTTCCATTGTATGCCTTTCTTTGGAAAGAAGGCTATGTATGCATGTTACAGCATAAATAACTACAAGGTAGTTTTTCTTCCATCTACTTTCTGTCTGCTTCAGTAGCCATTCCCTGGGGGAACCATTCCTCTGATGCTCTGTGTGACTGTATGCAAGCTGTCAATCACAGGACTTCAGAGTCAAGCTAAGCCAAAGAAGGAATTGAGCTATCCTAGGAATTTGAGTCCTGTGAGACACATAGGTCTAGAAGGCAGGTAAACTTGGTCATCTGAAGGCAGTCCCTAAAGTAGTGTCACATAGGTTTCACTACATACATCGCCTAAATACTCACGTCTTTGCTTTCCCTATGCATGACTGATCACACAAGGCTACATTCCATACCCTTCCGATCAATCAATGTAACGTTTCCAACCTTCTCTGATTTCTTCCTTGTTATGGTCTAGCCCTTAAATATACCAGAAAAACTCAAGTGTTGAAGGTTATTGTTCCCAAAGCAGCAATGGAGTCTTTGGTATGGGAATGAATGGTGAGAGAGTGTTCTGGATTCATCAATGGATTAACCAATAGGTGGATGCATAGCTTAAATGGATTGCGGGTGGAGTATGAAAAAAGCTTTCCCTTTCGCTTCCTAACATCAGTGAGGTGAGGCAAACAGTGCTTCAGTACTACAGCATCCTTCCATGACTGTAGTCAGGCACAGAAACAAGGTCAAATGACCATAGACTAAAAAGCCTGAAACTATGAACCCAAGTAATTTGATTTTCTCGGGTATTTTTTCACAATAATAGCAAGATGACTTGACACTGGGGTTGGGGCTGTTGCTGTGATTATGAATGATGCAGTTGAAAACATTTGGAAATCATTTGGGGAAGCAGGCTAGAAGGGTGTACAATATTGTAAGTGGAGCTTAACGGGTGATTCTGGAAGAACCTCAGAAGATCAGACTGTTGATCTAACGTGAAGACCATGGTGAGGAGGTTGCAAATGAAAGTGAAGACTGCTTTGGGGACTGGACTAAAGGTCATTTATGCTACATTCTGGCAAAGAACTTGTCTGCATTTTCCCCATATTTTGCAACTGTATGTGAGGGGAGGCTTAGAAATGACACACCAGTTAGCCCTTTGAAAGAAATTCCAAGGCATCTCTGCATCCAGGATGTGGTTTCAGTATTGTTGCTTGATCTCAGCTAGATTTACAATAAGACTCAGGAAGAAAAAAAAATACCAGAGGAAAGACTTGAGGAATTTACTGTTTGACCACCAAAGAAAAGCCTGTAGAGGTAGGCTGATGCCCATGGGGACATTCAAGAGATTAGCATCACTAAAAATAATCCGAGCACTTTGTGCCCGGACAGTTGGGAAGATAATGCCTTGAGGTGATCTCATGAATCTGAAATATCCATCCTTCATGGGCCCAAAGGTGGATAAATGTAAACCTTTCATTTGAGAAGCGCATCCCTGGGTGTTCGGGTCCCACGGCTAAGAAATTATTTCCAACGTTTTTCACTCCATCTTTAGTCATGAAATAACTGAAGAATCCACTGTGGCCATGGTGCAAAGGAGCTGTGGTGGCTACTTGCTATTAGCAGAACTTGGCATCAACCACATGGTACTACTTTTTTTTTAGGTGTAGAATGCAAACGTCCCATTGAGATTTCAAAAGATAATCTAGAAAGGTGGACAGCTTGTATCATGGCTGAGGTTTTGTAAGCAGATCTTGAACGTCCTGAAGCTGTGAAAGTAAAGTCAAAGAAAGACGGGTGGCACCAGGTCAGCAGAGATGCCAGTGACATGGCACACCCATCAAAGGAAGCTGCCAATAGCAAGCCCAGCCTGCCCAAGAGGAGGACCCTAAGGTCTGCAGTCAGTATAGCTGTGGGGGTGGCTTTCAGGGCTCATATCGTAACATCATGTGCCTCGGATGGCAGACATGTCACTATAACACTCAGTGTTTGCCCTTCAAGCTTTCAGCCTTGGTTTGATTCTGCCTCACTGTTTTACAATTCTTCTCGTCGGGAGTAGGAGTGTTTCCCACGTACACTTGCCTATCGGATGGATGCAACTTGTTCTTCTTGAATTGTCAAGTTCGTATCTAAGAATTTCCCTTGAGTCTGAAAAAAACTTGGGAACTTTGGCTTTTGCACCCTGATGGAACTGGTAAAACACAAAGACTCATAAAGCTGGACTAGTGCGTTCTGATGCCTTCTGCCTCGTGAGATTGGCATGAGTCCTTGAGGCCCAGGGATACGGTTATGGTATGGATGTTAAATGTCCTACAAAAGCTCATTCATTAAGTACTTGGTCTCTAAGCAAGCAGTAATCTGAAATGGGCCTTTGAGAGGTCATTAGACCATGAGAGCAGTTGCCCAAAGCTTTGAATTCACAGCTTCGTAGGTTTGGGGTGAGGGGTTGCATCATAGAAATGAGCTTTCTTTTGGTTTCCTTGATGCTACATCTATCGCCATATTGTTCTGCCTTAACACACGCCTCCCTAAGTGCCCATGAATGGCAACCTCAAAAACCATGAGTCAAAATAAACCCTTCCTTTCCTTTTAGTTGATTGTCTCATGTATTTTGTCAGAATGACTAAACCTGGCTAAGACATTCCTGCTTTCCTTTAGTGCACAAGATTCATTATTGCTACTCTCAGATAAAGAATACATACACGTTTATATGTATGCATGCATGTATATATATATATATGTGTATATATATATATATATATATATGTATGAATACCAGTTTGTTTATTATCTGAAGTATACAATTCTGTACCTGGGCCTCAAAGGTTATGCCCATCTCACAATGCACTTAATATTTAATGTATACAACATTATTATTAAATAATAATAATAATGTTGTTACTATTATTCTCACATTATTAAAGCTTACATATTTAAATAGTTCACTCAAGATACAAAGAAGACATGAAACTTCAATGTGAATGTCCATGTGAAGTATATCTCTGTGCTTGCTGGCATAGAGCTCATGTTAGAAGAATATACCATGGATTTTATTGTCACCGTGGCTATATCAGAAACTAACTCCTGAAGCTCAAACCCCAAATATAAACTAACCTCGAGAAAATCACCCCATTAGTGTGGCAGTATGGATTTTGAAGTAATGAAAATTTAAGGAAAGACAATAATAATAAACTCATGGCAAAGGGGAGAGTTAGCAGAAGATGGAGCAGAGCACAAAAACACGTAGAAACGATGGGTCAATAATGTGCTGAGTACACTGCATCCACCCAAAAGGGAAGTCTGGATAAGGCCAAATTAGCCCTACCCAAAATAGATATCCTCCTCTTCCCTTTTCACCACAAGCTCTCATGAGTGATGAGTAAAATACGTCCACGATGTAAATTTTAAATACAAGGCTTTTTGTGTGTATATTTCTTACTTTTATATTTTTGTGGTTTTTATTCATGCACATGCATTTGCAAAGTCAGTTGATAACCGAATCCTTGCTTTATTGTTAAAACAAAGAGCTTGAAAGTTAGGCCTGGTGCCACACACAAGTAATCCCATCACTTGGAAGGTCAAGAAGGTTAATGTAGGCTAAGTGCAAGTCAGAACTACAGAGCAGGTCACTGGTTTTTGTTGTTCCCTTCGTTTCTTTTGTTCTAAGCACCCTCTCAAAAAGAACTGTTATCTGCAAAGGTTTCCCTTAGTACAGCAATGTTTCTAGAACTATACAACGGATTATACATAAGGTATTTAAAATTTGAATTACAGCCTGGGAGTTTGGGAATCTGGCCTAGCATGCCCAAAGCCCTGGATTTAATCCTCAGTGCCACAATGAAACCCCATGAAAAACAAGGCACCAAAACAAAAGCCAAAATCTTAGGGAGGAGTCACAGCCCATAGTGTCTGTTTCTTCATCAATAAACCAGAGATGATTTAACCCAGGTAAAATCCAGAAAGATTATGGTCATCAAAGGTTCCAATATTCCTTCTGTGATGTCCTTGTAGAATGAACTTATTTATTCTCTGTATGGCCGGCCACTGTTGTCTCCTGCTCTTTTTCCAAACACCGGCTACCTGAATTTTGTTTTATTTTATTTTATTTATTTACTCAGAAATACTGAGACAAGATTTCTCTGTGTAGCCCCAGTTGTCCTGGAACTCACTCTGTAGACCAGGCTGGCCTTGAACCCATGGATCTGCTTGCCTCTGACTTTGCTAGGATTAAAGGGATATGCTACCACCGCCCTGCTGCTATCTGAAAACATTGGCTTGTCCCAGTGAACAAGACCGATCATGTGCAGGCATCCAGTCACATGCAAGCTTTGGTCTAGGAGTTTGATTGTTTACGTTTTATAATTGTAACTTGTTTATCTTCAATATGAAATTCTCAAGTTACATTCTAGTCTTTAAGTTACTTATAATTTTAAAGATATCTGGCTCTCTTCCTTACTAATTAATAAAAACTTGGAATTCTAGCAAACTTCTATTTAGTTACCGTCTTTGAAAAGTTTCTTTGGTGCCCTTGGTAGCCTAAATGGTATTTGTTTTTCAGTTATTGCTCCCATGCCAGTTTCTGGGGCTACAACAGAGCAAAAGAACGCACTGTTAATTACGAACATATTTAAGCTTTTGAAAACAATTTAATTGACAATTAAAATGTACTGAAGCCTTGCTGTTCGTTATATATTTCTAAGAGAAAACACTGTGATGTGCTGCGGGGAATCTGGGGACGGGAAGAGAAAAGATCAAGAAACACAAAAGTAAGGTGCAATGAATTCGTGCCACTACCTCAGAGCGGTCCCAGTCAATATCCTCCTTACAAAAATGATCCTCGGGACAAGATAATATCCAACCAGCCACTTCTTATATCAGGGTTAGAGAATGATAAGTCAAACTTCGGTAATCCTCACACAGTTTGTCAATGTGCGACAAGCCAATCAAGTTCAAAGTCCAGAAATTGCAAAAGTTAAGGTAGCCGCAGGAGAGGGTGCAGGCTGGGGCACTCTTTTGTAAAAGGAGGGGGGGGGGGCGCAACAGGGTTGACTTAGCTTCCCTAGCAATGTTTAGTATCATGCTCATCCAATTCCTTGGACACTTAGTGTCACCCATGTTCTTGCATCAAGTCCCGTGGTTCTCAAAACAAGGCAAGCTTTGGTCTTGTCCCACCTTTACAGTACCCTCTAGACCCAGGCTGCTGCTAAGCTCTGAGCCAGGAGGGAATTACTGGAAACTTAGGAGGCAGCAGGCAGCCTAGAGGAAAATCCTACCAGCCGGAGCAGCACGTAGTGAAGGGAGAAGCCGGGAGGTAAGGATTACTTACAGTTTGTCGCGGAGGCTGGCAGGACCAAGACGAGGCACGCCAGCAGCACCCGACAGCGCACACTCAGGACCCTCATTGCTGAGCGGGCGGCCGGGGGTCACGGCTGGTGCAGCGGAGACCGAGCCGGCGCTCGGCCGAGGGAGGGTAGGTGCGAGCCGGGGCTCAGCTCTCCCAGCTCTGCTTGTGGCCCAGCCCGAGCGCGGGCGGGCGGAGCAGCCCCGGGGCGGAGGGGACCGCCCGCTCCCAGCCCCCAGCCCGGGAGGGGAAGCGATGACTGGGACATTTCCTGGAAGCTGGGGGGGTGGGGAGGGGGGAAGGCTCAGAGAGTGAGGTCGGAGGCCTAGGAAAGCTTATCAGAGGTCCTTTGTCACTTTCGCCAAGTTCTGCATTTACTTCTTTTCTCTAGAAAGTCAAGTTTTCCAATGGTGAAAAAAAGACACCTCTCTCTCTCTCTCTCTCTCTCTCTCTCTCTCTCTCTCTCTCTCTCTCTCTCTCTCTCAACCTCTCTCCCCCCTCCCCCTCCCCCTCCCTCTCCCTCTCTCCCTCTTTCCCTCTCTCTCCCTCCCTTTCTCCTTTCCTCCTTTCTTCTCTCCCTCTCCCTCCTCTCCTTATCCAGAGACTGTGTCAGCCAGGAGGATGTCAGGATGTCAACCTGAACTCAGGAGTCAATGTGGACTTTAGGAAGAAGACTGTGCAGAGCAGAAGTAATGGGAGGAAAAGAAAATGGAATGTTTTGATCGCCTACGGTGTGTTTCCTCCAAATAGCTTGTTTTGGTATTAATGTATTACCATTCCGGTTCGGTTAAAGCCTGTGAATCGGGCTTTAGGTTGCTACTCTAAACTAAACTTCTTGGGGTCAAAGCAGAATACTTGGTCTGACCACTGTTGTACAATTTTTGTTGTTGTTGTTGTTTTCTTTTTCTTTTTGTTTTTTTCTTTTTGCTTTTGTTTTTTCGAAACAGGGTTTCTCTGTGTAGCTTTGTGCCTTTCCTGGAACTCACTCTGTAGACCAGGCTGGCCTCCAACCCACAGAGATCCACCTGGCTCTGCCTCCCTAGTGCTGGAATTAAAGGCGTGGGCCACCACCACCATGCCTTTTAAGAAAAGCGCTTACCCTTTTTAGCCCTGGTCATATCATCTGCAATACAGAGACAATAGAGTTTCATAGTGTTGATGTGAGACTTTCAACAGATCCTATGTGAAGCAATAAGGTCATGTCAAATAGTACCCAATGCATATATATTATTGCTCATTTCTGCCCAAATGAAACATCGATTTTTTTTCTAGATGTGTGAATGAAACTTACTAAGCAGAATCATATTTTAAGGATTATTCTAATATCTAGTTGTTCTTTTTTCTTCTTTTCCTTAATGATTTTGTGATCCAGCTGAGTGATAGATAATGAATATTGAAGTCAATTTCTCTGATAAAGGAGTGGCTTTGGGAATTACCATTCATTCAGTAGGGGGAAGGGAAACTCTTAAACCATACCAATCTGTGTTCTGTGCCTTGTTTAAGAATTAATTAATGAATGATAGACTAACAGGAGGAAATAATATTTAATCTTATCTATACAGGGGAATTCCATAAAATGATGAGATTCAAGGAGGCGGCCAGATGACTAAGACATATAACAACTTAAGCCGTAGAAATAGAGCTCGAGGCTTCCAGCCAAGGGGTTGAGTTGGGGAGAAAACAGCTTAAGGAAAGACAAGGAGTAGAAATGTATGGTCAAAAGGGGGTTGCCTTATTGTCTTAGGGACAGCCAAACTCATCTCTGGAACTTGCTCTTTCTGGTATGACAGAAATTTTACTAATCAAAAATTTATAGGTGTAAATTCCTGTTGTAGCTTGAATCTTTTTTTAAAAACTACTTTTAAAGATATTTAATGCGTATGAACTTTGCCTGTGGATGTGCACCCTGGGCCTGTAGAAGCCAGCAGAGGGCATTGGGTCCTCATGGAACTGGAGTTTCAGAGGGTTCTGAGACAGGATGTGAGTAGAAGGAACAAAACCCAGGTCCTTTGGGAGAGCGCTAAGTGCTCAACCACTGCACTATCTCTCCAGCCCCTAAAGCTCCAGTCTCAGTTATCTTAGTGGTATCTCAAAAGCTCCTGTGATAAGACTTTGTCAACAGCCCATGGTGGTGTCCGTGGTAGAAACATTAGGACTTGACTGTTGGTTTTTTTTTTCCCCCTCTTTAGTCTTTTGGGGGGCCCACCACCCAGCTCCCAAATAAATCACACACGGAGGCTTATTATTTCTCATGAATGCCCAGTCTTAGGTTGGCTTGTTTCTATCCAGCTTTTCTTAACTTATGTTATCCCATCTACCTTTTGCCTCTGGGCTTTTCCTGCTCTCTTACTTCTGTAAATCTTATCTTACTCCATGGCTTGCAGTGTAGCTGGGTGGCTGGCGCCTGGAGTCCTCCCCCTTCTCTGGCTACTTCTTTTCTTCACTCCTCCATCTCTTTTCTTCTTTCTTCTCCCAGATTTCTCCTTCTCTATATTGTCTCTGCCTGCCAGTCCCACCTATCCTTTCTCCTGCCTCCCTATTGGCCGTTCAGCTCTTTATTAGACCATCCGGTGTTTTGGACAGGCACAGTAACACAGCTTCACAGAGTTCAACAAATGCAACATAAACACAAATAACACACCTTAAAATAATATTCTACAATACTCGGCCTAATGGGATGTCATTTGGGGATGTGTTCCTCTCTCTCTCTCCACTTTCCTTAGAGAAAAGTAACCAAGTAACCTGTGACAAGGTAAGCAGCCTTTTTAGCCTCTTTCTTCCAGTACAAGCGTTACCATGATGCATTATTATGCCATCACAATTGTGCCATTTATGTTATAGAACCTCTAAAATCATGAGTCAAAATACGCATTTTCTCCACTTACATTGATCCTTGGGTTATTTTGTTGTTGTTTTTCTCATTAGGACAGAAGCTGACTGACAGACTTTCCTTTCCAAATCACAGAACTCATACTTTATTGGAGGCAGCTCATTAAAAAGTCCGCTACTTCTGGATTTTTATTTGCTTTGGGTTTAATATGTCTCCAATGTCACCAGCAGTCACTGAAAACAAAACGAGTTGGGGCTTCATCACCTGCAGCTTCAGGACCCTCAGTTCAACACCTGCCACTCATTTTTGGGAGGGTGAAACCCAGGCCTCCAGACACCCACTATCCCATGTCTTTCTCTGGCTTCTGTCATGACGCCTTTGTCTTTCCACAGGTCCACTGCAACTGCAGGCCGACACGGCCATGGCTGTGAAGATGGTAGGGCTCCGGTCCACATATTCAAGGAAAATTGTTTAACTGAAATAGACATACATATATACATCAAAGTAGTACATGTTGCTATATCATATCTAATCCCTTCAGTTTAATAGAATAAGAACCATCCAGCATGTCTGTGACCCCTCCCTTTAAAAACGTTTCTCCTTTTTGGATCCTTTGACTCCATCAGATCTATGTATTTACCTCTTTATTCTCATAAATATAAATCTAATCCCTTAGAACTGTTTGGATTATATTAAAAGAAGCTTTATGTACTATTTTTAATCTTTAGTGTGCAAATGCACGTATGCCATGGGTCTTCAATGAAAAGCTCCATTTGGTAATCTCTTCAATAAGTGAGGACAATTTTAAAGCACATTGTCAACTTTGAGATCTCAAAATTTCTCTCAGAGGGAAATGTTCCTAAATTAAAAATCAACAGCATTCTATAAAGTATCCTTTCCAATTCAGACAACAACAGAGAGAGCCCAAGAAGGGCATGTTAAAGAAATAGAGGCATTTCAAGGAAATAGAAAAAGAAAAGCCAACCTTCTCCAGTTTCTTTGCTTGAAAGGGATTGACTTTCTAGTTTCAGAAATACATTGCAGTACCACTGTAAATGTACAACAACTGGCTCCTTCACTGTAATGCCAAACTTGAAATTCTATCTGAAATGCTTAATAAGGAAATTGGAGAATACATCTCTGGATAAAATATGTGGGTTTTAAACTTAGAAGTTCACTCCAGTTTTAATTCAGTATTGAGATCTGGTTTCAGCTGTAAGTATTTATTAACACTTTGGCTAATATAATACAGCTGAAATTTGATTTAGGTATATTTCCTTATATACAAACAAAACTTGTCCCAACTTTAATTCCTAATCTAATCCTGTTTCCATATCAAATTATACAGTGTTTCTGTATAATCTTTTATTAATAAAACAACTAATACATTCATTAATCATGCTTTTTATGTACTATTTTTTTCTGAAAATATAATTTATGAGGACAAGTTTTTTTTTTTTTTTTTTTGATGTTTGATTTACAGCTATGTTTCCAGTGCCTAGAACACTGAGTAGTTCATAGACATTCAAATGAACAGTTTGAGCCAGGGAATATATATAGCAGTATGAATGGTGAACACGAAGTGAATCTTGCTAGGCGGTGGTGGCGCACGCCTGTAATCCCAGCACTCAGGAGGCAGAGGCAGGTGGATGGATCTCTGTGAGTTCGAGGACAGCCTGGTCTACAGAGCTAGTCCAGGACAGGCTCCAAAGCTACAGAAAAACCCTGTCTCAGAAAAAAAAAAAAAGAAGTGAATCTTGCTTTTGGGTTGTAGTTTTGGTAGCTTGATTGTTAGCAATACTAATGATCGAATTCTATGACTCATGCATACTAGGGAACTGCTTTACCACTAGGCTATTGTGGTGATACTTTATTTGTGCTTTAATAAATAAAGCTTACCTGGAGATCATAGGAATAGGAACAACCATTATGAGTAAACAAAGAAGTCAGGCAATGATAGCACATTTAATCCTATCACCTGGCAGGCAGGGATCTGTCCGGATTTCTGTGAGTTCAAGGCAACACTGGAAACAGCCAGGTGTCTGGCACATGCCTTGAATTCTAACAGTAGTTAACATGGGGGGCTGGAGAGCTGTACAGACAGACAGGAAGTGACAGAGCTGGGCAGGAAGAGGAAGTGATGTAGCTGGACAAAGAGCAAATCAGATGGCAGAACAGCAAGGTATACAGGCGTGGGTAGACTCGCATTTGGAAGCTGCCGAGTTGGTGAGGTAAGGTTAGCTGTGGTGTTCCCTATTTCTCTGATCGCTCTCAGCTTTAACCCCTATATCTGGTTTTTTATTTAATAAAACAATTTAGAAATTCATCTACAGGCTATAGCCTCACCACCAGACAATTTTCTCGTCTTTCTTTCCTTTTTATTGATAGGATCTCACTATGCAGCCCTGGATGGCCTGGAACTCTCTATGTACACTGGGCTGACCTCAGATTCATAGAGATCAGCCTGCCTCTGCTTCCTGGGTGCTGAGATCAAGGGAATGTGCCACCACACCCTGCCTAAGGATCTTATTTAGGATGATAGCAACAAGACTGTTTTGTTCACTCATGTGGTAAAAGAGCCACAAAACTGCAGTGATTGAGTTTTTGGTCACAGGAAATCAGAATCTGCATAACTTTCCAGGAAGAGGTTCACCATATGTTGGCATAACATGCTAACATAGACTCTTACAACTATTCACAAAGAAAGGGAGAACAGGACCATGGCTCTGGCTGTTAAGTACTTTCATGTAAGGTTGACATTCTACTCACATTCAACTGGGACACAGGAAGTTACTCGGTATGCTTGATTCTATAAGGTAAGAATAGCTTTCTTGTGTGACTTATAAAGAAAGGAACTAGAAGTGATTAGTATATCTCCTGTCAATCAAACCACTTAAGGCATTGGAAAAATCGAGAGTCTAGTTCATTAAATGATTGACTACCTGTTGGCAATAGAAATCCCTATCAGAATTGAGGAAGGTATGAATTGGACCTAATGTCAACTATAGTTTCAAAGCAAGTGGTATCAAATATGGTTCCTGAAATGCTAAAGGAATGTGCACATAGCAAGTTTCTTCAGGCACAGAGGAACAATTACATTTTCTAAGTTTCTTTTTTAAAAGGAAAACAGCAAGTTAGAAGTTAGCTCTTAGAAAACATAGGAAGACAAAGGACGAATTTTCAGGGATTGGAGAGAAACAGTATACAACTGTGAAAGCACAAGATGAGATGGGAAAGAATTTTAGAGGCATTAACTGCATTAAGTGTGTCAAGAGATGCCAAGAGCTGCTTCTTCCCCCCTACACTGCTCACCATCTCTTCCATGGCATCAGGGCTCCCCTCAGGCCTCTGGTGAAGCCCAAGATCTTCAATAAGGGGAATAAAAAAGTTTATCCAGCACTATTCAGATGCGTATGTCAAAATCAAGCTCAATTGGTGGAAACCCTCCACACCAGGGTATGGAGAAGACTCAAGGGCCGCATCCTGATGCCCAACCTGCTATTATCTATCAGAAATTGGGTTGAGCTATATCTCTCTCACCATCTCAGTAACCTTGTGAACTGGTGGTTTTTCATTCTCATTTTACAGAAGGGCTACAGAGGTTCAGAGTCAGCAAACTCATGACTTAGAAAAGAACTACTTTAGAACCCCAATCTGTCTTAGTCCTACACTATCTTTTTCTCTTGCATACTGTGAATTCCCAGTATTCTCTTTACTTCTTCTATGATTTGAAATGTCTTTATCATCTGTCTATCTTTCATCTATCTTTTAGAAGTTGAATAGATAAAAATGGCTTTGTACATGTTATTGCATGCATTTTTGAAAAGGTATTTGTCATTTTTCTTCAATAAATATATTAGAAATACATACATTAAGTACCTCTTCAAAAATAAAGCATTGCAAAAGAGCCAGCATATTCACAATCTCAAAATTCAAAAAGCAAATAGCCATGATTTTTAGATAGCTAAAAAGTCCCCAAAAACATACATTAAATTATCATCACTCCTTATTTTTGAGTGGCAAGTGCACAATGTTTTCATCTTGTTCCTTCTCTGTTTGCACATTCTACAGCAAAGACATGTTGCTCTTGTAATTGTAACCACTTCTTACAAGAAATATAATTACTCTTCACTTTTTTTAACATAACAGCGATACACATCAGATTAAAACAGCATTCCCATTTGAACTGCTGAGACAACTTAGCAAACGAGTTTCCCCCGTGTGTCTTTTGTTTATAATTGCCTCAGTGTATTGCTCCTGAGTTCTTCAGCCTGAGTTGGCCTGAGCCCCAGAGGATCACCATCCCTACTGCACAACAAAACAACAAAACAAAACAACAGGCAGACGATCAGAGATCTTTGGATCGCGTTTGAGTTACCGGACATGAATGAGAAACAAAAAGGTTGGCAGGCAAGGCATTTCGCTTGGGTATAGTCAGGGCTTGTGTGGGATCTCTCCAGGAACCCTGGATTGATCTAAGGACGCTCCAGTTGCCTAGTTACCAGAGCCATGTTCCGTGAGCTCCTCCCCTTTCCTCTAGACCACGCCCACTTCCTCTTTCCGCCCTTTGACAGAGGGCGGGGAGCAAGGCAGTCTCAGCCACTGAGAAGCCCGGAACGTAGGTCGCCAGCCTCTGATTGGAGAAGCGCGTTGTGGGCGGTTCTGAGGGCGGGCCTTCCGAGCTGCGGGAACGTCAGCACGTCGACGCGGGGGTTTTCTCCGGAGTCCCGCTAACGCCGCGCCTCTACTCCGGAGCCTGTGTTCCGGCTGTCCCGGGGCGGCGGGCCGACGCGGTTCGGGGCCGGACCCTGGGATCGGTCCCGGTCACCGCCCTCCCGGCCTGTCCTCCTGGCCGGTCTACCCTAGGGGAGCCTGGCGACGTGGGGTCCCTGAGCCGGGCCGGGGAGCTCGGGGCCCTTCCCCGCCCCGTGGCTCGGATGGGAGGTGGCGGGAGGAGAGACCTGGGATGTTCAGTCTGATGGCCAACTGCTGCAACTTGTTCAAGCGGTGGCGAGAGCCTGTCAGGTAGGCTGGGGCGTGGGCCCGCTGCCCAGAGGGATGGGGACGACCGCGCCCCTGGGCCGGGCCGGGGCGTCGCCTCTTCCCTAGGCTTGGGAGGAGTCGGCCAGGTCCAGGGGATGCCACCCTTCCAGATGGACCATTCCTGGAGCGGGAGCTTGGACTGTGGCTCCTCTTGTCTGCTTAAGTTTTGATCCACGGCGCCTATGGATAACATTGTTTTACATTTCTTAGAAAGGTGTGTGTGTGTGTGTGTGTGTGTGTGTGTGTGTGTGTGTGTGTGTGTGTGTGTGTGTGTGTCTGTGTGGAGAGAAGGAGGGAGAGAGTTACCCATTGTGGTTTTCTTCCAAACCCTTTTTAATGGAAAAGTTTTTTGAAGAGAGGCATGAAGTACAGTTTTCCTAATAAACACATCCTGTTGTCTCCCTTTCTTTCCTCTCAGCTCTCTTGTGCACATCTGAAAACACAACCGCACACTATTTTGTTGGGCTATTTGGCTCTACTTCTTACTAATTATATGATTCAACCACACTTGGCCCATCTTCCTTATTTATTAAATGAGGATGATAATATCTGTGCCTAAGAAGTGTTGGATTCAATTAGAGCGTGAGAAGGGTAGTGTTTTCTTAGCTATAATTTAGCTGCTGTTTTCATGTACACACTAGTATAACCTTCTAATTGAAAAGTCTCTTGCTTCATGATTCATTTTGCATTAGTACATGTGTTAATGTCCAGTACATTGTTACTTGGTTGTTAATTCAATAAATACTGTCAAGAAAGGAACATGTACCAGGCACTGTGTTAGGATGGAGTCGGTGAAGAAGCTGATGCTTCTGAAACCTAGAAGCCCAAACTGCACAATGTGTTTCTCTTTATAACTATTGATTTTTTATAGTTATGCTTTGAAATTAGACCACAGGCAAAATTTAGCAAAGTGTTATTTTTTTAAACCCCAACTCCACCAATATATATTTGTCATAATGATGATGAGCAGTTCATAATCATAAAGATGAGCACTTCAAACCGGGCGGTGGTGGCGCACGCCTTTAATCCCAGCACTCGGGAGGCAGAGGCAGGTGGATCTCTGTGAGTTCAAGGCCAGCCTGGTCTACAGAGCGAGATCCAGGAAAGACGCAAAGCTACACAGAGAAACCCTGTCTCGAAAAACCAAAAAAAAAAAAAAAAAAATGCACCTGAAAAGCAATACTTCGAAAATTTATAGGAAAACACATGTCTGCATTTGGAAAAGAAATTTGCTTTAAACAGAACTTTTGGAATTCTTTCCCTCTCCTTGACCTGGGTCTGAGTGTTTGAAGTGTAAGTGATAGGATCCCTCTCAGAACCCAAGGTGTGTTCTTCAGTGTGCCTCTGAGTGATTGGCTGTATTCGTATTCTGGCTGATTTCACAGCTTCTACTCAGACTTGAGAGTCAGAACATATGTTCATTCATACATGCCTCTTCTCACTTTTAAAGAATGGATTTTTTTAGGAGACCTTTAGAGCATGAATACAGTCAGAGCTTTGCTTTTATGACTTACACTAATTCACGAAAAATTGCCTCTAGTATACTTACGGTTTCCATTCATTTTTTTTTTAAGTTTTATATGTGCTGCTTGATGTTGAGATTCTTTATGTATTTTCTGAAAATATATTTGCAAGTGTGGAGGGAAGCTCTAATGATTATTCAGATTCAGAATATGCGGAGAGATTATGCTGGCTTGTCTAATCGATTCTGTGCTCTTCACATGGAAGTTCTTTCATCATGCTCATGTATACACATGCTCATGTCTCATGGTAACCCACAACCCATTGAGTGTGTTAGCTTTGTTTGGTAAGTACCAGGCAGGAGGCTGAGACTCAGCATGAAGGCACTAGGTTAATAATGAGAACCAGGGATCCAGCCAGTTCAAACCGTACTTGCCTGACAAGTCAGAACATGAACCTTGGATTTCAAGCCGTGTAAATCAATCCTGAATTGACTGTAGTGCTAGACCCACAGACAAGTGACTTGCCCCAAAAGAAGCTATATAGTACAGTGCTGGATTTTCTTTTGTTTTAATTTTTATTTTGAGATATAGTACAATGATGAAAACTTTAAAAAATCAGTGTAATACTGTTAACTAAAATGTATATTGTATTACAGCTCACCTGATTGTAATAATTTTTAATTTGGTTGTGTGTGTGTGTGTGTGTGTGTGTGTGTGTCTGTGTCTGTGTCTGTGTCTGTGTCTGTGTGTATCTAGGATCCAGTCTAGGGTCTCCCACTACATTTTCTCAGAGTTGCCATCTTTGAGGTCACTTTGAACAGTACTGCTTAAGGTTTTTAAGGTTGAGGCTGTGGTTGCTTGCAGATTACCCCTCAATTTGCTCTTTAGTTCCTTGTACTTTGAGTAAGGTGGTACTTAGGGAGGAAGACTGCAGAGACAGTGTGTCACTCATCATAGGCAAGTGCTCTGCTGGACACATATCACAGTAATCATATCAAGGGGTGTGTAGTGCCAGTGTGGTGTATTGCTGGGAAGGTTAACCTTGGCCACTTGGTCAACATGTTGTCTTCCAGGTTTCTCAGTGTAGTGCTTAGGTTTAGTAGATTTGGAATCTGAATCCTAGAAGTCTTAGCATTTTCCCACGTCCAAGTTGTTGATTATTTCTATCTCACAGCATTTTAGGAGAAAAAAAATTGTGCAAGTATTTGAACATGGTTGCTGAGGTTACTCTTGTCATTGCTGCCACCAAAACCTGACAGAAACAAATTAGGACAAGAAGGGTTTATCTGGGCCTAAGTTTTAAGAAAACACTGTCTATGGCAGCAGGGAAGGCGACCAGAGTTGGTGGGTGCCTGCAGCCAGGACTCAGTAATCGGAGAATGCTGAAGTTCAGGTGCTTTTCTCTTTTACCTTTTTATTTAGTCTGAGTGGTTCCATTCATATTCAGGGTGAGGCTTCCCTCCTTTGTTAAATCTCTTTCTTTGGAACACCCTCACAGACACTCCCAATGGTGTGTCTCCTAGGTGATTCCAAACCTAGTCCAGTTGACAACAAAGAATTACAATCACAATGGCACCAAGCATCCACTCAGCAAACTGTATAGTAATTTATCCTCCTCTGTTGATAACTTATGTTTATCAGGTCTAGCTTGGCCTTTTCTTCCTATTTTCCCTAAAAGAGTTCCAAGGTTAATTCTTAGGCCTGTGCTCTGTATCTCATTTCCTTGCTTTAGTTCTATATTCAGACAGGTCTTAATTACTTAGATCAGTATACTTTATATATACCACAGAGGGGGCTTGTGGGCTATAAAAATAAATTTGTGTTGTTTTTCTCTGTAGTTTTCCAAGTTTCTTCTCTTACATTCGTTTTAGAATACATTTTCAGACTTTTCTTGCATAACCAACCCAAACTGATGGGCCTTCCATAGCTGCTATAACACATCTCTGTAAGTATAGTAATGTGAAACAATATGACGTTATTATCATTATTGAGAACAGAAGTTACAGATGGTCTGCTGGGTTGTGGAAGCTTTAAGGGAAGAATCCACTTCCCATTGCCCTTTCCAGCCTCAAGAGACAACCTGTGTTCCTTGGTTCATGGTCCTGTTCTTCCGCCTTCAAGACTGATAGTATAGCCAATCACAATGGCATGCTATATAACCTTCCTATATGGACCTTTCTAATTACATTGCATCTACTTGTACAGTCCAAGGTGGGCTCCCATCATTAATCACATCCCAAATTCACTACATGTAAAGTAGTATATGCACAGCTAGAGAGTAGGTTGTAGATATCCTTGGAAGACATTTTTCCACCATCTTCTGTCCTTGCAGCTTCTAGTCTCTTTTCTTTTCCCCTGGGATTCTCACTTCACAGTGGTCTATGGTGCTGTCCCTACCTCCTCCTCTATCATGCATTTCCTAACTCCCTGTATAACAGACTACTGCCCTGTCCCTTGAAGAGTTCTTTTTTTTTTTTCTGAGACAGGGTTTCTCTGTGTAGCTTTGCGCCTTTCCTGGAACTCACTCTGTAGCCCAGGCTGGCCTCGAACTTACAGAGATGCCTCTGCCTCCCAAGTGCTGGGATTAAAGGCATGTACCACCACGGCCTGGCAAGAGTTCTTTTTTTTTTTTTTTTTTTTATTTACTATGTTTCTTTATTATTATTATTATTATTTATTTATTTATTTATTTTATTTTACAATACCATTCAGTTCTATATATCAGCCATGGGTTCCCCTATTCTCCCCCCTCCCACACCCTCCCCTTATCCCCAGCTCACCCCCCATTCCCACCTCCTCCAGGGCATATCCTCCCCCGAGGACTGCAATCAACCTGGTAGACTCAGTCCAGGCAGGTCCAGTCCCTTCCTCCCAGACTGAGCCAAGTGTCCCTGCATAAGCTCCAGGTTTCAAACAGCCAACTCATGCAATGAGCACAGGACTTGGTCCCACTGCCTAGTTGCCTCCCAAACTGATCAATCAACTGTCTTACCTATTCAGAGGGTCTGATCCAGCTGGGGCCCCCTCAGCCTTTGGTTCATAGTTCATGTGTTTCCATTCATTTGGCTATTTTTTTTTCAATAATTGAGTAAAACCGAAATTTATTATAAGCCACAGTCATCCTAGAGACCTCCATGCTATATATATAGTCTCCATGGTTCTATGGGTTGTGGTCTGATTGTTCTTTATTTTATATCTATAATCCACTTATGAGTGAGTATATACCATGACTGTCTTTCTGGGTTTGGGTTACCTCACTCAGGATCATTTTTTCTAGTTCCATCCATTGCCTGCTTTCATTGTTTTTCTCTGCTGAGTAGTACTCCATTGTGTATATAAGTGTTCTTAAACCAGTTGCTCCACCATAACTGCATGCATGATTCTTTTTTACTCTTCCCTTTGATGCTGAGGCTCCTAGCAAATTTAGATGTTTACGTCCACTTTGAATTCTCAGCATTTTTTCCTTTTCCTCCTGCCTGCTTCCTTTGTCTTACATCACCAGTTTGCTTTCCTTCATCT